CGCGGGTGGGGCGGGGGGTCCGAGGGGGACACGGCGGCAAAGGCGCCGCCTCCCGCGCGAACTCGGGTCACTGATGAACCCGCTCCGAAGCGGCCCTCGGCCTTTAAGGGAGCCTTTTGAGGCGCTAAAACTAAGAGTTTTAGGTATAGGCAGACCCGGCGCTTCCTGTTTTGGAGCGTTTTCTCCCCTACTGTGCGGAATACGTTAAAAACATTGAAAAGATAGACAAGAGCCACTGTCGTGGTAGATCAGCATTTCCCTTCACTGAAAACTAACGGCTTTGTAGGAAAATAGCTGGTCTGTCTTTCCGAAAAGGTGAGGCGGGGAGGAGGGAGGGCAGGGTAAAAAAAGCTAGCTCTTAGATCAAAAAAAAACAAACAACAACAACAAGAAAAAGTAAAAAGCTGCGATGTGATGGAGCTGGAGCCGCTAAATACCCGGAGTTCCTGCAAGAGTTAAGTGAACTCCTCCGCCTTTTATTCTGCTCTAAACCTTCATCCCCGTCAAAAAAGCAGTTCTCTTTATGCTTTTATTTGAGAAATAAATAATTTTTTTTAAAAAAAAAGCCACCAAGAAGTGCTTGCAGAAGGAAGATGTAGTCGCTAGGGGAGGGAGGGAATAGGAAAAGCCCCCCGAGGTGCCGGCCTCCTCTCCCGCAGCCCTTGGCTCGGCCGAGGCGTGAAGCGGCGGCACCTGGCGCGGGTTAAACGCCCGTCCCGCAGCTGAGACTTTTTCGCCCATTTTCTGCTGCGGGGTCGGGAGCCGCCGCCCGGGATCCTTCTCTGCAGCCCGCGAGGTAGGATCGCCTGCTTTGTTATTCCCGTCAAAACAAACAAACAAAAAAAGGTAGCGGGACCTTAAATAAGCTTTTTAAGTCCGTGTGCAACGTACAGAAAATTCTTATATTCACTTTTGTTATTCGGGAGCTGCCGGTTTGACTTCCTACCGCTAGCGCGGTGTCCCCTTGTATTTCTGCATCCACTGATGCTGGTAATTCCCAGGATAGTTGGTGTTTTCCTAGTTCCTGCGGCGGGATGGGGGGGGCGCCGGGCCCTACCCGGGCCCTGGGAAGGCAGCGCGGGGGCTGGATCGGCCCGTCGGGTCCGCGAAACCCCGCGGATGAACGAGCGGGTTTTGAGCAGGAGAAAAGTCTTTCCTTGTGTTTTTCCCCTTGTATTTGCTCCTTTCAAGGGAAGAATAAAGCGAAGAATGGAAGAGGGAGGTAAATGACGACATGGCGACCAGAGCGGAAGACTATGTAAATATTTCTTTAATGATAATCTTCAGGTTTAGCTTTATCTTGCAAATATTTGATGTGTCTATGGATCTATTTCTATCGCGGGATCAAACAGCTAATGCGTTTAACTTTCAATGCAACTATAGGAATGGTGTGGAGCAATTGAATTAAGGGTTATGTCCGTGATGGTGTGTTTTTAATTTATTTTAAAGAACGTGTTTTGAAAGATATGTTCTTAAATAGAAGCTGCAAGACCTAGAATTTTTAGTAGTTGAATATAACATTTTAAGTAAAACAGAAAACATCATTTTTTTTTCCTCAGAAAACAAAACTAAACAAAAAATGTTTGTAGGAGTTGAGGGACAGGATAAGAATTTAAAAATCTCATTTGATCCTGTCGGTCTGTTTCCTTAATCAAACCTGAAATAGTTTAAAGGATTCTGAAGTCCCTATTAATTACCAATCTCTTTTTGAGATTAAGACCAGTGTTTCACCTTCAGATACAACAGAAATATAGAAAAACAAATGAAGACAAACAAAAAAACCCACTTTTTTAAAAAATAGCGTTATAAGCGTTTTCTGAAAGATACTGCAACAAATCAGCTGCCCACGCGTTTTAATCTCCCGTGTGAGTAATTGTTCTAACACTTCTTTGTTTCCCTCCCCACAGCTTGAATCACTTCTCACTGACGCTTTTAGGGGGAAAGGGTTTCAGAAAATCAACGAACTGTTTCAAGAAAAAGAAATTGAGCCTCCCCAAAAATACAGTGAATCTCTCTTTAACCAGCTTGATAAAGCGTTGAGAAAGGCGAGTACCCGGATTTATTGCAACCACCTTCGTGCCCACAGGTGATAATGCGCGTATTGGGCAGCCCTGATAACGAAGTGAGGCAAAATATGTTTTTGCAGGAGTTGGACAAGAACGAATTCCAGAATGTCTCGCTGTTGTTGAAGTGCATTCAGCTCTATTTAAAAAGTGATCTCCAGGAAGGAGAAAGCTTATTTATTGAGCAAGGACTGGTGCAAAAGATGAGTATGATACAGTTTTTGAGTTACTAATGTAATTTTAAGGTTACTTGCATCAGAGAAAGGAGGAAAAAAAAAGGGGGGGATTGAGCACTGGAGTGCTCAAAATCAAGTGCTCAAAATCACTATTTTTTTTCTTTGATGCGTGTCATGACCTTAGCGAAGGAAAAACTTTATTTTCATTGCATTGCTTTCAGTATGAAAGCTAACATCATGTTTGCTCTTAGTATAGGGCTTAGCATTTGTGGGTTTTTTTTTTTTTTTTTTTTTTTTTTAAAGATGCCAAAGGAAGCAAGCAGAGGGTGAGTTTAAATGTGTCCGTTCTGTGAAATAGCATAAGTCTTCTAAATGTGTTTTAAGGGCTGTGGCAAAAACTTCCCATGAATCTTATTGCTGAATTTGTGTGCTTTTGCAATTTTATAAGGTAATATAGCATTTCTGAGGGTTTCTTTTTAAACAAGCAGTACAATAAATACATTTAATCTGCAACGATGTTCTCTTGTCACTGTCACTCTGCTGACTTCAGCTGTTATTGGTTGTAGTAGATAGAGACTTGTATCTAAGATAAGGGTAATACCTGGATCCAACCAAGGGAGGAGCAGTGAGCACGGGCTGTCAGTGGCCCCGTGTCAAGGAGTCCTTGGTCCTATGTGTTAAATGCACTAAATGAGCTTTTCCAGGCACACTGCTCAAAACCCCTGTAGGATTTTGAATATTCATAAAACAGGCTGTGCAAAAAGTTGGCAAATCTCTTAAACTTGCTTGCACTTTTGATTGCCCTCCTCGAGAAAGCTCTGGCTGCTGTGATGGTGCCAGTGGTGATGCCCCTTGCCCCAAAGAGGCTCTGCTCAAGAGCAGGGGAGGAAGAGGAGGAAGGGCTGCTGCCTGGGTGCAGGGTTGGGGGCTTTGCCTACTACTGGCAGCCTTTGAGCCCCACAACGCCTTCCTCACGGTACAGTACTGCCCAAGTTGGGGGCTGAAAAACCCCATGCGTCTGCATGAGGTTTGCTAAGGGGATCCTTAGTTTCAGGGTTATTAGCACTTCTTGGCTGTTTTTTAACCAATTCTTTCAATTTTTACATGGTATCTTGGTTTGAAAGAGCAAGATCTTCTGTGATCCTCACAGACCCAAATGAAAACAAGATTTTGATGATACTTCTTGAAGACTTCTTTGACTGTGCCTTGGTACGTATGTGTGTTGGAAGGGAGAAGAGTTGTCTTCATTGTATATTGACAAGTGCTTGTTTAAAAACATGAATAAGTCGAGCCAATGTTTTTGAGGCCGAGTTACACCTTATGTGCAAATTTGTCTGCTAAGGTGGCTCTGGATATTTATTCCTATGTCATTCAAACCCACTAATTAACTCCCAAAGAATGATCCAAAAAGCTTATAGATTTCCTTAATGTTTCTTTTTGAAATAGGTGCTGGATGCCCGGTGACAGTAGATTTGCAATAGGAAGGAAACTTTTAGCTTTCTTTGCCCCGTGTTGCTAAAAAATATAACTGTCTGTAGTGCTTTCAGATGTCAATGTGTTGCCTGGTACCATAATATGTGAAAGAAAATGACATGTATTTTTACACAGGCCCATATGTATACTAAAAATAATGAAATGATGCCACGATGTGGGTTTCTGAGGAATCTGAGGGCACTCTGCTCTGCTGCTACTGAAATCCTGGGGGGGAAGTGGGTGCTTCGCTCCTCTTGTGCTCCCTGCATACGGACAACCTGTATAAGAGATCATTGTATGCAACATACCTGCATCGAGGTGCGCTGCCACCCGTGCCTTGCTGTCTTGTTATTTTAGCCTCAGAGAGGTGTGATGTTCGGGCATAGTCACAGAAACGCTTTGACTGCTGTTGTGGTTGGGGTCGTTTTGTTAACAAAGACTTCCTTTACTTTTAGGTGATTTGCAGATGCAGTGATGAAGGTTAGTGTGTTTATCTGTATTAATTTATACCCTTATGCAGTGATGAAGGTTAGTGTGTTTATTAATTTATACCCTCGAATAGCTTCAAATTCTCTATCAGAAGAAATTTCTTAATTCTGCATTAACTCTGTTTCCTCTTTCTTCCTCTCCTGCTCCCCAGCTCCTCTTTCTCCCTCCAATATATATATTTTTTTTCCTTTTTGCTTGCTTGCTTCTTTTAGATATGCTGGAGATTTCTAACTGTAATACCTTATCTACACTGCATGTCGCTTGGAATAAGCGGTACTTCCGAAAGGGCCTCAAACACAGGCAGTGGCTCTTGCATATCTCCTTGCTATGGCTTCAAATATTATTTTCTCACTAAAGGAAGCCATCTACATGGAGTAACTGAGTACTCCTAGTCTATCGTAGAGCCGTCAAGGCTCATCAAGGTTTTGTCAGGAAACTTGGCTACAGCTTAAGCTAACCTGATATGGGGATCTGACCATGTGCCTGGGGATCTGCCTGCATGCCTTGGGGAACTTGTTGCATCGGAGATGCTGCTGCCTTGCAGTGCTTGCTGCGTGGCAAGAAGGGCCGTGACCACGTCAGCTTGTGTGGCCAGTGAGGCTGCAAAAAACCCATCATTTTCCCCTTGTTGTATAGGATTGGACTGTTAGAGTTTTGTCTGATACACGGTTGGGATATTTTTACTTCTTCACCAGCAGAGTGTTGTTGCTTCAGCAGTTGTGTTTTAT